GTTTCGAGTAACCCGTCCTCTATGAGTGGGTGTTGGAAAAGTTTGGTTGTGCTTCGGTGTGAGACAATTCCAATATGGTTCCTCTTCCATACATGGTTCCTCTTCCAATGTTCCAGAACATGAACACAATAAGGATATGCATAAGTCTGGCTGTCCAGTAAATGTAGGAGGCTCACTAGGCAATACCCCTCTATTTAATAGACACCTCATTACAGAGTCGATTTTCAGCTCCAAGGAGGGTATTCGAGTTTCCAGCTCCAAGGGGGTATCTTATAGCAAGGCCTGACTTTAAAAATAAATAAAATAAAATTTTTAAATAAAATTGAATATAATAGAAAGAATATATTGAATTTTCTAATTTGGCAATGCCCGATTGAAGGCAGGGAGGGAGGGGGAAGACAATAAACGAGTAGGAGGAGGAATTGGAGATGGTGGGCGATAGATGGGGAGAGGGGTGGGGAGAGGGGGTGATAAAATGCGCTGCTGGCCAAATTGTGTTTTACTCATTTATGTTGATTGAACTCTTAAAATAGCCTGGGAAGGCAAGAAGAAGAAAAAGAAAATGCCAGCCTCTCCTCTCCAATCACCCCTCTCTCCCTCTCTCCATTCATCTATAAAATTACAGGAGGCATGCGCATGCCTGCCCATGCATTCTAGCCCTATTGGATTTTGAAAAGCAAAGGCAAGTCTTCAATGCGCGATAAAATTTGGGTAGCGATAGCTATATAGATTTTTTTAAAAATTTTATAAGAGACTTGGATAGACAATTTAATTTAGAGAAAAAGTCAAATTATTGTTGGAGGTTGGAATTGAAGAGTTGAGAAGTTGGAGTTCGGGTTGGTCTTCCAAAATTTTCTGCGGATCGGAGTTACGGTCCAAAGAAAATCCGGGTTCCGAGTTTGTGGTAATTCGGGTTCCGAGTTGCTCGGCTGATCTAGGAAATCCTTGGATATCCGGTTCTGGATATCCAAAAATTTCAGGATATCCGGATCTTTTTATCGGATCCGGAGCCACCCTGGTTAACATTACAGATACAGTTGGACCTCATAATAAGGTACAAGTTTGGGTCTGAAATTGTATCCTATAGTGAGGTGGCCTTAAATTGGAGGCATCGGTTAGTCGGCTCCATCCACCTAGTATTCGTGAAACTGCATTTGCGGATCTCGGGCAGCCAAGTTCAACCCCAAATATTAAAAGGGTATCCGTGTATACTATTTTTGAAGATTTATTACACTATATGTACAAGGTATATGAAAGAATTAAATGAAGACTTGAAGAGAAAATAGGCAAATAATAATAATACAAATATTTATAAATTCCTGCCTCAACTTCCTGCCTTGTTTTTGTTTTTATTAATCCGTTAATTATGGAAACTGCCCTATGAGGGCATATTCTTTTAAATGTATGTACTATTTTTGCACATGAAAGGTATCTTTTATTTGGAGATTTATTTTTTAATATAAAAATGAAAATATGTAAATGGTTGAGGCAAAATTACACTTTTATATTTTTAAACAAAGGTTGACTTGTCTGGAAAGAATTTGAAACAAAATAGGGAAGGGCAATAGGGAAGGGCACTGCCCAGGGGTTTTTCGGACCCCTATCAAAACCCCTGAAATTTTGAAGAAAATGAGACTTTTCAGGCTTTTCAGGGTTTCACGGGCTTCACGTTTTTAATATTGAAACTCGGCCCGGTCCTGTACATAAAAACAATAAACAAAGTCTGACTTGTCTATAAGGTATTCGGAATAGAGAGGGAACCGATTCGAAGCTGCAACACTTTGAAGAGAATCAGGCATTTCAGGACTTTGGGGGTTTCATTATTTTGAGCTCTGTCCCGGGTCCTTATTTTCAGGACGATATGAGGTCTGAAAAAATTCAGGTTTCCTAAAATTTCAAAAAAAATTTTGCCTGCGGCACTAAACTCTAATTAGCTTATTTAAGGTCAAATTCTAGAAATTTTTGAGAATTACAGGTTAGTCATAGAAAAAAATGATTAAGAAGAACAGAAGAATTTCAGAAAAATATTTAAAAAATGTCATATAAATTTATGCAAAATTTATGTAAAATAAAAATATTTTTAATAAAAAAATTTTTTTGTCAAGAATAGGTCGTTGACCATGATCACAAAACTCAACTACAAAAAAATTTAAAAAAATAAAAAAAAGAATTGTCCGGTACGAAGGTTCACGGCTTTTTATTAGACGCTATTTTGAAGCATTTTCTTCCTAACCCCGAGAATGTTTGCTGGACAAACAGAAATTTTTTTATGTTTTTAGCGGGAAAGTCATCACGGGGAGTGTTTGCGGAAGAAGAAAGGAAGAAGAAAAAGACGTTTTTGATGGTTGTTTTTGGTGCTAGTTTGTGAGGGTCTTTTACAGAAAATAAAAAAAATTTTGGCCAAAAAAGCTTTGCATGATCAGCATTTTTTTGATAAAATTATTATTAATGGTCAGAAATGAGTAGAAACAAAAAAATAAATTTTGAAAGTTTATGTAGAGAAGATAAAATGGGAAAAATAAAAAGTGATCACTGGGAATAATTTTGATCTGTCCAAAATAATTCAAATTTTTTTGGCTAATTTAAAATGACAAAAATTAAGTGAAGACAAACCTCATTTTAAAATAACCCATCGGATTGAAAAACGTATCTTATAATAAGGTGTATCTTAGATAGAAGGTATCACTTCTAAGAATCGTCTTCCACCCCACCCTGTGGTCAACCAAATTTAAAAAACTCTCTTATAATGAGTGTGCCTAATATGTAGAGGGTAGAGCAACTTCCACCCTGTAAAGTGATTTCTGACTGTGTATAGGAATTGAAGTAATGTTCTTCAACATTCAAGAATTAAACTTAGTATTGTCAATGAAATTTTAAATAAAATATCCCGATGTTTTAATCATATTATATACAAAATTTGATCACAGGATGATCATCATTTTAATAAAAAGGGAAGTAAACTGCGTAAAAAATAAACTAAATTTCCGTGTCTTCCTTTAAAAATGATTCAAAAAGATTTAAAAATATTAAAAAAATTAAAAGGAAATGCGAGGACCACCGGTCAATGGGAAATACTTTTCAAAACAAAAATCGAAAAAAGGGTCGACGGGGACAGAGTCCACGGACAAACAACCCTTTAGATTCACCTCTCTTTTTTCCTCCTTCCTGAACAAACAGAAGACGGACGAGAGGTGCAGCAATGGGAAGAATAAAGGGAGATTGAAGGACAACAACAACAACAAGAGAAGAGGTTGAAGGAGTGGCCGATGAATCGAAAAAAAAACAAAAAAGTGCTCTCGATCTGGTGCCGGATGGTGCCGACGTATTTCAGCCAAAAAAATTTTTTTCTTCAATTTTGTTTATCCCAGAAATGGCCATTCAAACGACGTTGTTTTTCATCACGGCTGGTTCCACAAAAAATTTATTTTTTCTTAGCGGAAAGCGCGAGAGTTTGTTTTTCTCCTTTCTTTTTTACAAAATAAATACACTTTAAATGTGTTGATTTATAAGTATTTTAATTTTGTTTGCACAAATTTTTTGTTTACAATTTTTGAAGAGGTGGATATATTGCAAAAAATATTAAGGAAGGTCAGAAAATCTTTCAACTAATTTTTGGTGAATTTTAAAAAAAATTCTAAAGGCTTGAAATTTTCTAAATTTCGTTGTTTTACTCATATTAATTCGATTATTTAGCCAAAATAAGTCGATTATTGTTTGAACTTATCGAACCTGAGACGTCATGCTAGTATTTCTAAAAACTGCCACTTAAACCACTTAACCAAACTGTCTATGCTTGAAAGGAATATGAAAGAACTGTCTTTTACGTTCGCCTTCCGCAGAATTCCCCTCTTTTTACCCTTCCGCTTCCACTTCTTTTTTAGTTCCACTTTCTTCCGTATTTTGCTTTTTTAAAATAACACAAAACAGTGCCCATCCCTGCCGCTTCATGTTGGGCACTGTTAGACTCTTTGTTAAGCTCTTTGTTAGGCACTTCCACACTTCACTATGGAAAACGTTGAGAAACGAACCTCAAAATAACTCTGAAAACTTAAGCCTGAAAATTTTTATCCTGTAATCTAGTATTGTATACTAGTTGAATATGATCGTTTTATCAAATAATAAACGATTAAAAACTAAACAAAAATTTCTAAAAAATTTTCGTTCCTCGGATACTTGTTTAACTTCATTTTCTTAATAAAACTCTTCATCCAATTCTTCATCAAATTCTTTTTCTTCCATTTTTTCATCCTTGATTTCCTCGTCTTGTTGAATATACTCAGTCAAATCTTCATTGCATTCAAAATTTATATCCTCAAAATTCAGCTTACCAAAATTTTCATTCATCTCTTCCTTTTTCTCTTTTGTTCCTTCAATTTTCTTTTCAGAATTGACCGAATCTTGTGATTGTTGGAAAGAAAAATCTTCAACTTCTTTCAACTTTTTCCAACTTTCTGGTGTCTCAACTTCGCCCCCTTCAACTTTTGCCAAATTTTCTGTTTGTAAATGGTCTTAAAGGGAAATTTATTAAATTACTTTTATCGAAAATTAAAGTCCCCACTTTAAGGTACCCCCTCGGGGCTAAAAATTGTCTCTTATAATGAGGTGTACCTTAGACGAGGGAGGGGGGTTGTATCGCTCAGGCAGCTCTCCTAATCCATTGGCTAACAGGATTTAAAACACGTACTTTAAATAGAGGTGTATATCTATTGGGTGTGTAAAATTATCAGATAGACCTAATACTGAATACACCTCTATTTAATAAACGTTTTTTGAAAGCTGATTGGGCACAAGGTGAGGGAGCTTCTTAAGCTCTACCTTCTATTTAAGGTACACTTCAATATAGGATACAAATCTTTCTAGCTTCATGTTTGTCTTATAATAGGGTTTGACCTCTATTTAAGATAAATCTCGTTATAAGAGACACTGTTTCAGCTTCAATGGGTCATCTCAAAACGAGGTTCTCACCCCGTTAAAACAAAAATATTTAAAGAAAGCACCAATTTTCGTATGCGTGTTTAACATGTTTGGTTTGGATTCATGCTTTATAGGTGAATTTTTATGAAACTCTTTTATTAAATTTTCATCAGTCTTTTCGGGCGTATCATAATGAAATAAACGTTTAGCCTCTTCACCGCAAAATCTCTTCTTAACTGGCAAATCTTTATTTTCCAATTCAACTTCTTTTCTCTTTTTTTCGTTAGTTTGTGTTGGAGAGAAGGCAAAATCATTTGGATGCTTTTTCCAACTATCGGGGGTATCGGGGGAGTCTTCTTTAACATCTTCTTTTTTAGATTCCTCCTTTACTTTTTGTTTTTCTTTCTGTTTTTTCGCTTCAACTTCAACATTTTTTTTAGATTCTTCCTTCTCCTTTTCTTTTTCTTTATGCTTTTTGGCTTTAAATTACAAAAGTATTCAATCCTTCGGGGAGCTTTCAGTGATGGGTCTGGCTCCAGGGCCAACTCCGGAGCCGGCCATTAGAAAATAGTCACTTTTAGAGACCTTTGAGGAGAACCTTACATTCTTCGGTAGCCTCCCTCCAATATTTTCCATTTTCAGGGGTTACCTCTGACAACTAATTATAGGGCATATAATGGGGCATTTTGTGAGGAAGGTGTAATAATCCAAGAATGAAAATTAATTTAGTAAATACAAGAAATTCTTACCCTCCTCTATTTTATTCGTATTTTTTGTTGTATTGTTATGAACATTCTGCCCGTAAAATTTTGTTGGACTTATAGGTTTTTGCTGCCCTTGTTTTGCTGAAAAAGGAATAAATATTTTTGCAATGCCGGCGTATGCCCTTTTAGCCTAGCAGCTAAAACAAAAAGTGAACACTATCAGTCGGTCGGTGGAATAGATGGGAGATAGGAGTGGTAGGAAGACCCGTCTAATCCGGAGAGCTCTTAGGATCTAGTCTCGGCTAACCTTTTTGCTATTTTCTGGAGGGTGGGGGCGGACATCGGAGGAGAGCTCTTAGGATCAAGTCTCTCTTTATCTTTATAGAAGATAAAAAGAGATATAATTAGATGATTAGATCTAATCTAATCTCTCTCTTTATCAAGTCTCTCTTCTCTTTATTTATCTCTCTTTATCAATCTCTCCAATTTACTTGGAGAGCTCTTAGGATCAAGTCCCACCCAATATTTTCCTTTTTTTCTGTGAGGGGTTGGCCTCTCTATTTTAAAAAATATTTTAAACTAGAATAAAACCTTTAGGAGTTATTCCACCTTCAACAACTTCCACCTTCAACACAAAAACAAAAAATAAATAAAGGAGAATAAAAATTGAAATTTTAAACATTTTTAATTTAATTTAAATTTAAAATTTTTAATTTTAAAATTTATAAATCTTTATAAGAAATAAAAAAATTTTTTTGTCAAATAAATTGATTAATTAAAAAAATATAGTCAAGTGTTATTTGCTTTAATGCCCTTATATGTCAATGTAAGGTAGTTTGTGTTATGGTGTTTATATGTATAAATGCCGCCTTTGCGTCTTGCGACAGCGAGAATTAATAGACATTTTGTTTATAGACAAATCTTTCAAAATTTCAAAATTTAATTTTCAAAATACTAGACGATGACCTAACAACTCTGGAAGTTCTTGAATAATAGGTGTAAATAAAAATCAGAAGTGGTTGAAGAAGTAATTATGTAGTAATTCTGATTTTCTGGCTTTTTGGTTGTTCCGTCATCCTTCGGAGTTTTCAAAGTGTTCTACAATTTTGGAAGTTTTTGGAATTTTAAAATGAGTTTCTGTAGGCATTCAATAATAGGTGTAAATTGAGTGAAATTAGAAGCGATTGGGCAATTTTTCCTCCGAACCTATCGTAGAATATGTAGGCACTTTTGACGAGTTTTTGGGCGATTAGAGTTGCTTGGGGGTCTTTCGTCGATTTAAACTCTTTTAAAAAAATTTTTAACGTCTGATTCTGCAAGTCTGTAAGGTTTAGACATTTTCTCTTGGACACAGGCGCCGGAAAGAATTTCTTAAAAAATTTTCCATAAAACAGGAAAGTCGGAATTTTCTTAAAAAAATTTAAATTTCACAACTTCCTTCCTTTCCCTTTAAGCGGCTTTTTTGACTGTCTGATGTTTAAAGGTCTAAGCGGGTAGAAAATTTGGTACTTTATGGATATGTCACCCCCCTCCTATTTTGAGTCTCAGAGTTTTCCTTAAACGTAGAAAATGGTCAGAGATTATTTTCTACTCCATGTCAATCATTTTTTTCTTCTTCAAGCAAATGTGGTAAATGTATAAACGAAATGAGTGAAATGTAAGTACAAAATATGTGAAAAGGCAAAATAAACAAGCGAAATACTTGAAGAAGAAAAAAATGATTGACATGGAGTAGAAAATAATCTCTGACCATTTTCTACGTTTAAGGAAAACTCTGAGACTCAAAATAGGAGGGGGGTGACATATCCATAAAGTACCGAAAATTTTTGTCGGATAAATCTTTTGATTAAATCGCTTTCAAAATAATACAAGATGACGTTCTTTTAAGTTACGTTTTCTTAAAATTCAGCCGGCTTTTGGGTTGGGGAGCTGACTTATTGGGGAGCTGATCAACGCCTCATTATAAGAGACTAGGATTGTCAATTCTGGACCAAATTGAACCGAAGAACCGATGATTTTTCGGTTCGGTTCTTCGGTTGGTTCCGGATATTCTTCGGTTGGTTTCGTATTTTCCAAGAAGGATAACCCTATAAGAGACTATTTTTCAACCTCGAGGGTGCATTTTATATTGAGGTTTGACTTATAATAAAATAAATAAAATTTTAAAAAATTTTATTTTGCATCAAACTTTAATTTAAAATAATTTTACTACTTGAATTTTATTTTTCAAAAAATATATTTCTTAAATTTTATTAATATCCCCACTCTTCCTCAATTCAATAATCTTCATTTAAATCCAATTCTTCATCACAAAATAAATTAATTTCAGAATCCTTAGTTTTCGAGTTCTCTCCCTTCTCTTTTTCAATTAATTTTTCAGAAGCCTTCTGATTTTCTTCCTTTGGATAAAACGAAAAGTCAACCTTTTCTGGTACTATTTTCCATTCTTCTGGGGTTGTCACTTCGATTTCTTCATCGTTCAAATTTTCTTTAATAAATTAGGTATTCAAAAATAAAGTCGAAAACCTTATTATAAGAGGGCAAAAGAATTGTCGCTTATAATCAGGTGTATATTAAATAGAAGGTATCGCTCAGACAGCTCTCCCCATCCTGTGTCCATCCAATTTTTAGAAGGTCTCTTAAAAAGAGGTTATCTTAAATGGAGGTGTATCTTATAATGAGGTGTCTTTAATAATGAGAGGTATCTTGAATATCCCCTTGGGTAATCTATTTTTAGGATTTATCTAATGTTGAGTGTCTCTTATAACGAGGTTTATTCTAAACAAAAAATTTAAAAAACCCATTTTTGTGGACTCATTTTTTTCATCCTTTATTGGACTATTAACATCTTTATTTTCTTTATTTCCCTCACTATTCTCTCCTTCAAGAGCGAAACGTCTAGTAGCCCTCGAATTTTTCTTTATTTTAATTTTCTTATTCTTCTTAAGTTTCTTAACATTTTTTTCTTTTTTAATTTTTTCTGGTGTTTTAAAAATAAATTCTGATTTTATTTTCTGATTTTCTGGTATTTTTCCTTTTTTAATTTCGTCTGGTAAATTGGCTTAAAATGATCAAATTAATTGATTAATTAATTTAAAATCAACCCAAAATTGGGACATTTTCTTTGTCATCGTCTTCTTGTTTGGTTGTTGCCGTTGGACTTTTGGTTGGACTTGTATTGCTTTCTGAAGTAATTTTTCTGGGTATACAGCCAAACCTCTCTATTAAATAGCCTTATACCTCCAATTAAAATACCCTCTATTTAAGCTACCATTCATTATAAGGGACAAAAAAATTTTTTAGCCCGACGGGGTACTTAATAGACCTCGTTGGTCAACAAGCCCAGATAAGCCTTGTTTACAAGCCCAGATAGGCCTGGTTACTCGGTTTAATTTAATCAACTCTTCCTTATTTTAACACCCTTCCTTCCAAACGTAGTATATTTCAACTATATTTTAATTTTTTTAATTTTAAGTAAAAACCATTTTTTGATTCCAAAACACCTTCACTAGTTTTTAACAAAATAAAAATAAAATAAAAAATAAATAAAATTATTTTTAGCATTTTTATTAATAATAATTCGAAGAATTAAAATTTATTTTTAATTCTCTCGATTTCATTATTTTATATGTCCTTTTATTCTTAAAAGTCATTATTGCCTTAAATTATTATTGTCCTTTCCCACAGACATTTAAAAGTTGTGAAATTTAATTTTAAAATTAAATTAAAAAAATTGAGAAATTTATTTAAAAATTTTTAAAATCCTGTCGCGGAGTTTCGAAGTAATTACGACTATTTTCGAGTTGCAATTTACGTAAACATTCTTTTCTGATTACCACACGTACACGCCCTTCAATGTTGCAGCTCCGTTTTCCCCTATAGCTTCGTTATAAGATACCCCTAGAAGTTAGAAGCCTTGTCTATTATAATGTGTATTATCTTAAATAGAGAATATCTCTTCAGGAACTCCCTTACCCAGCGTATCTTAAAATGGTCTTATAATTGTGTTTATGCGTCTTGTAAGGGAAGTGTTGTCGCAAAATGAGACTACAAATTTCTCAAACAATGCAAAAACACCATTTTTGGCTTCTTTCATCATGTCAATCTGTATACAACACAAGCATTTGCTAGTTTTTCCCAGCCCTACTTATTCGAAGATACATCCTTCGGGTAGAAAAATCGTACCTTATAATGAGGAGTATACTAAATGGAAGGTATCGCTTCAGCAACTCTCCAATTCGGTGGCTAACTCAAATTGAAGTGTTAGGAGGTTTCCAGCTTATTTTCTCTTCTTTTGGCAAGGTGAAGGAGTGCCAACAGCAATCATTACCTTCTACTGCTTCCACTGTAGAAGAACACCTTGGACTTGTTTGTTGCTGAAATTACTAATTTATTTTTTTAATTTTATTTTCCATTGATTAATTTTTATTTTAAATTGTTTTCCTTTGAAAATAAAATTAAATCAATTAAATTTTCTCAATAATTGCTTTAATTTTTATTTAAAAAATTATTTCATAATATTGAGTGAAGGCATTTGATATGCTGTAGTCGATTAAACGGCATTGCTAAAGTCTCTCCATTAAAAAATTTTTTTCTTTATAAATTTTTATTTAAAAATAATTTAAATTTTGAAATAACCTCCATATAATATACACTCGATACTAGGCAAACCTCTATTTAATTGGCGGTTTGTAAAAAATGGCTCTTTCTATTGAAGAGACTCTTAATCTCTCTCTAATTAAGGACACTCTATTTAAGAGACTTTCATTCTCTATTTAAGAGACATTCATTATAAGAGACTATTTTCACATCTTATACATGCTAGTGAGGCCCAGATTTAACACTTAATTTAAAATCTGATTTCATAAGAATATTCTTAAAATTATTTTTCGAACATTAAGCTGTTCACATGAATTTCATAGCAAATTCAAACAAGTACTTTTAAATTTTAATTTAAATTTTACTGTTTAAAACACTCTGATTTCATTCTTATAAACCTCTAACTATGCGGCAAGAACATTTTTTGTTAAACTAATATTAGCCCCCCCCCCCATATACTCCGTATTTTTCAGCCCCAAGAGATATTGTTAAGCTCCAAAAGGATATTATAAACGGACACGATCCGAGAGTATTTTTAAATATTTTCTAGAAAAGTCTCGAGTATATACCAACAATTAAATTTTTGTAATGTATTACTTTATAAAATTGATGTTTGGTGCAAGTTTTTGCTTGCTTTTGATTGATGCTATGCCTCGTAATCGTGAGTTATTTTCTATAGGAACATAAGAGAATATTCCTATTGTTTAATAATTCGGGAAAAAATATTTTATAGGAAGACCACAAGGTCAACAAGGTAATCAGCAACATCATCCATATGAACAACATGGACAATATGGACAGCATAATTACTACCCACCTAGACAACATCCTCCTATATACTATCGTGTGTTACATATACTCGAATCTCACTATAAGACATCCCTCGGGACCAGAGCTGGACGAAATATCGGATTGCGGACTGAGGTTTGAGGGTTGCGTGGTTTTTTGACCTGAGGATTGCGGCTGCGGAAAAGTTTTTTCTAATTGCTTCCAGCCATGTTCTGGGTTTAAAATTCGTATTCTAAAATGCGGGGTATCTAATATATAGAGGGCATCTTATAGTGAGGTTTTAATCTGCATGATTACATTTTTTAATTTTGTAGCTCATGCTCCCATTTTACATCCTCAACCACCTATGATAGTTCATCATCCACCTCATCCCTTTATACCAACAGTTCAACTGCATCCAATTGTGCCTCATCCACCACCACCAGCGTACATGCAAATTTACTTTACTGATTAAATTATAAACATTTTTAGTCTATATTATCCTGCAATGCACCAACTAGGCTCACCACCAGTACCTTTGTCTCCAGACGACTTGGCTTATGCCACTCATCATTATCACCAGTATCAACCAGGATGGAACCAACAACTTTATCACTATTGGCAACAAAATAATCCGGTTCAATCGTCAATGCCATATCCGGAGTATCTATTTAGGTAGACCTTACATGTTAGATAACCCGAAATCAGATATCCTAAGCTTAAGAGACCTCAGTAAGATAAAGAGATTTAATTTTATTAATTCAGAATGATAATGATGAAGAAACGGAGGTAAGCAAAACCAAAATGTATAAGATACTTCCCAATGCTAGACATAAAAATACTGCCGATTAAAGAAATGAATCTGCGATTTTCGGGAAAGGGAAAAAAATTTTTCGCAACCACCATCTAATTTTAAAACCCGCAAACGCCAATCTGCAACTAAAAATTGCAATTTGGTTGGCCACGGCTCTTTAGATATAGACAATTTATGGTCAGTAAAGACCAGTTTAATTTTAAACAAATATAGGATGTTCAGAGTGATGATGATGAGAAAATTTTTTTGCCCAAATCACTTGAAGAAAATGATCATGAACTTGAAGGTATTTTCAAATTAAAAATTTAATCAAAATTTTTGAATTTCAGAGGTCAAACCGCGCAATCAGGCTGGAAAAAGAAAGGATTTTGGAAAAAAGAAAGGCATTTGATTGTAGTGATAAAACATTATTTAACGATACATATGAGTATTATGTAGTAGATTATAAAATTATTATTCGTCCCAAGATTAATTTTTTCAAGTCTGATACTGAAAAATATATATTTTTGATATCTAACTATGCAGTCTGATCTAATTATACCTCAACCCATTGGACTCAGAAATCGCCCCTTATATTAAGGGGTACCTTATATAGAGGGTTCACTTTAAACAAACATAACCTAAATCGAGGTTTTATAGTATGGGATATCTTAGTGAGGTCTGAGACTTATCTGAGGGTATCTTAAATAGAAGGGTATCTAATATTGGGAGGTGTCTAATAGAGCGGTCCAACTATATATTCGTTCACCCTCTCTCAAACTAATTCTTGAACATATTCACATTTCCCCCTCGCCCTTGCACATCGTTGCTTTTTTGCATTCTTCTAGGCCATCGGTCCATTTGTTGTTATGGCCGACGATGACCTCATCAGTAATGGAATGACCTCCAAAATTTATTCTCTTATTTTTTTCTAATAATTGAAGGAAAAAATCCAAATGCCTCAAAAGCTATCCAAATCCTTCTAATGGATGTTCTACATATAAGTAACAAAAATTAGATATGTAAATGGAGGGTTAGATAATTAATTACATTCAGACCTTACTCTATTATACCCCCAGCATTAGAGGATTATACCCCCAGCATTTACAGAATTTGGTTAACCACTGGTCAGGGAAGCTGCAAATAGATACTCCCTATTTAAGATACGTATTATAAGAGACTATCAGATTAGATTGACGGATCCGGATATCCAGATCATAAAAAAGCGGAGATTTTATTCGGAGATTTTCCAGGATCCACCCCTTGATTAAGACCAAAGGTTCTTGCTTCAAACCAAAAACTAACTATAAGTATCTCAAGATTTCTTACTTTATAGTCATGTTTGACTGTGATGGAACATTTTTATTCTTCATAAAATAGGTATCTAAGATTTTTCACAAAATTAGAGAGCGGACTTGAAAATCTATCGAGATTCAAGATCGGTATCTCGAAAAATCTTTAACCCAAATTTTTGAACGAGATTTCCTCTTTCTCCGTTTTCTAATCAAAAAATTCTTTTACAAAGATTCAACAAGAATTAACATAAAAAGGAACGGAAGAACGGGCCCAAATGGCGTCATCTGTTGCTCAAAAAAGCGAAGAGAGTTTTGGTTTTTGTATACATTTTTCTTCCCATTTCTCTTCAATCTTTCCCCCTTTTTTTGCTTAAATCCACTCTTGCCCCCCATCTGTTGCCAATTGTGTGTTGTGACCCATCTCCCGTCCATTCTTGTACTATTTGACCTCGTCCGCCCTTTTTATTTTTATTTTTCCTCTGATTACTAGTGAAAAACTCTGAAAAATTGCACATTTATCGAACGAGAATAGCAACAAATATTTGACCTTTTTTGACCCTTTTTAAAATTTAAATATTTTAATTAATTTATTTTAATTTTAAAAATTGTTTTAGTAAAACTTAGAAATATTTATTTACTGAAATTATTACTTTTTTAAGATCACTAAGATCTCTACTTTTAAAATCTCCCTTTTAAAATCCCTACTGAGATCCCCTATCCTCTCTTTTAGCTCCCCTCTATCCCGCATTTATCCCCTATTTTATCGTCTATCCCCTATTTATTCCCCCAATTATTTGAAAAGAACTCAGGCATTTTAAAAATCAGATTGAATCCGAAAATTGGAGGACCAGACCACTCAGATACTCTATCGAGTAATTTCGAATACTTCAAGTTCGGACTTGTACCGTCTTTTCTCTAAATCTAGCAATTTTCGAATTCGACTTTAGCATTATTTCGATCTCCATTTAATAAACGATCATACATAATTTAACCATAACTAATCCTAAGCCTAATTTTCATTAAATTTTTCATCAAATTACATACCTATAATTTCTATTTTAATTTTTTTCAAAATTTTATTTCTATTTAAAAATTTTACTTTTAAGAATTGAAATGATCCTTTTTCTATTTTCTCGTTAAACCTTTCTCTCTCAATTCCCCTTTTCAAAAAACTCCAGAAAAGCGATCCCCAGCCTCCTTTCTTGTACATATTTAAAAATTCCCTCTCTTTCTCGCAATTTTAAACCCCCCCCCCTCCTCAATTTGACCCAGACAAGCCAAAATGATATAAAAAATCCGAACATTCAATCGGTTAGAAAAAAAGAAAATTTGAAAGGAAAACGAACGACCCACAAAAAATTAGCAAAAAAATTGGGGGAAGAGACCAACAATCGACAAATAAATACATATAAATAATTGAAAAAACTCGGGAATCGAAATATTTTTTGATCAGTTAGCTACACACACAAAAGGAATGTGTGAATTTTTAAGAAAAACCATTTTTCTTCCAAATATTTTAAATTATTTTATTTTTAATTAATAATTGCCGAATCTCTCCTATAAGATATTCTTTAAAATAAGATTCTCCCAATAAGCTCGGTTAGCTCCAAAAAGCCATTTCCCTTGGTTCTATCCCTTGGTTCGTAATCGAATTGAAGAGCCGAAAAATCCTCGGACTTGGTCTTCGGTTCGGTTCAGTTCCGGATATCCGAAGATTCGAATCTCAACTATAAGATATTCTCAGGAATATAAGTCATTCTCAATAAGGTCAGTTAGCTCCAAATAAGCCATGCCCCTTAGTTCTTCCCTTGGTTTGTAATCGAATTGAAGAGCTTAAAAATCCTCGGCATTGGTCTGCGGTTCGGTTCAGTTCCGGATATCCGAAGATTTTTCAAGAACCGGAAACGCTACCCCCAAAATTAGATACAAAAAATAAACAAAAAATTGACTTGCCCTGAGAGGGGCCTTTCGTGTTTCGCTTTGAGAAATTGCCACATCCTTGGAAAAAGGAGTAGTTTATATTCTAACTTGTGTTATCTTATACTAAGGCCCTGCTGTATTCGAATAGGACTTCGGTATCTATCCCTTAAAGTGCCCTGATCTAAAATCTGATTACATATATCTTTCTGATTTGACATTCATTTTCCTTCTATCCCTAACAACCCAGAAACTTTCAAACCATCTAAACCAACTTCCTTTTTAAAAATTTAATTGTTTACCAATTCACACACTCTCTTATTTTGGCAGATGACCATTCCCAAACTCTCTTCCAACCTCTCTATAAATTCCCAACTCTTTCTCACATTGTCATTCAGCATATAAATCTACTCTTTAGGCGATTAAGCGATTGGGGGTGAATTCCTGTTCTACTTTCACTTTTTTTGTTTGCGCGGACTATCTAGAAAAGACAAGCCATGCGAAACAAAAATTTTTTTAGAAAAATGAAAAGTGAGAGAATATTTTTGGAGAGAAAAAATTTTAAAAAGGAAAATCAGCTCTAGCTTCTCCTCAACAAATCCGAATTGCCCTTTCTCTTTTTTCCCTTTCTCTTTCCAATAAAAAGCCGAGGCATATAACCCGTCCTTTGACAAAGAATTTTTATATTCAAAAAGCGATCTTCTCCTATTTGTTTTGGCTTGCTCTAGATTTTTATTTTTCAAATTTTATTCTTTTTTTTTATTTAAAATAAATTTTAAATTTAAAGTCTGATCTCACTTAGATACACCCTTTGGTTATTGAAAAATTCGTATCTTATAATGAGATGTTGATTAAATAGGAGTATCGCTTAGTAACTCCCCCACCTCAATCGCGTCTTAAAATGAGGTATGTCTAGTATAGGGGGTATTTTATAATGAAGTTTCGGTGTCATATAAGCGGGTATAGGCATCTCCTCAACCCAGTGGTAACCTTATTTTAAAACGTCTCTTAAATAGCAGTGTAGTCTCTTATAATGGGGGTATCAATAATGAGTTATACCTTATAATAAGATGTTGATTGAATAGGGTGTATCGTATAGAAAGCTTCCCTCACCCACCAGCTAGCCAAACAACTTTTTAAAACCTATCTTAATTAGAGGTGTACTTATATTGGTTGTATCTAGTATTAAGATCCGACTGTAAATACATTTTTCCCTTAAGGATTTTTTCTTACCCCTTTTTATTGCCCCTTTTGTGTTGCTATTTTTGGTAATCTCTTCTCCCTTACCTTAAAATACCCATATTTAGCTCCCCCTTTTCGGCTGTCTGAGTTTGCACATGAAAAAATTTTTACTAGCTTTCACATTAGCGGCGGTCATTTTCGGTCATTTATTGCGTTCACTAAAAAAATATTTTTTTATATTTTTCCCAATACTTTCTTTTTATAAATACACCTCAATCCGATGGCCTAATTTTTTTTCGTTTATTCGAACGGTGACAGATGGAGGGATATTTTTTCTTTTTTAAATTTATCCATGTTTTTTGATCACTAAATATGGTGAAGATTTTATAGGATTTTTTAAAAAATATTTATTTTCCTTCTTGGATTTTATTAGGGAAGGATTTTTGTTTTTTTTCTTTCATCAAACATTTTCCTTTATATTAAAAAATTCTTTTAGACCTCTATTTTAATTTTTAAACACCTATTTCCCACTATAAGGTACATAGAGGTGAATGATCCTCATCTAACATATGATACGCTTTTTAGAATTTGATCGGCCAAGGGGTGGCGGGCTGCCTAAAGGATACCTCCTATTTAAAAAAATTACTAATCAACTCATATTCCCTTAGATTAAAAAAATTTTTAGACCCCTCATTTAATTTTTATGCCTACGTTTATCACTATAAGATGCCTGTCGGCCACTTGTTGTACCGTAACTGTCCTAATAGCCCCGGGGCCTCTATTTTTTAATTGGTCTCATTTAATGGGCTTCCCAAGACTTTGTCTTATAACGGGATCTGACTTATTAAATTTCAATTTTAAATATTTCAATTCCCTCCTTGCTTATTCTGTCCATGCCCTAGTTTTCTTTTACTTTATTTTCCTATTTTTAAAAAACCCTAAAAATTACTGCTTTTTAATCTTTTTTAGTTGAACAAGCCAGCTACTTTTTCAATCATTTCTTTTCCTCTCACCGCGCACCTCCGTTTTCTTCCTTCCTCCTTGACCGGCTTTCTAGTCAGACAAACAAAACTAATTTTACTTTCATTTGCCCTAGAGGTTGAGGAATGCTCCGATTTTTTTCTTTTCATTGCTTCTTTGTAAAAATTGGCGGAGCTTTGAAGAAAATTGTCTGACCGATCGGAAAGAAAATGAAAGGGAAAGACCTTGATGGTGAACAGAAAAAAAGACCCGGATATATGCCCTTGCCCTAATAGCCTTTTTATTTTTAAAAAACTTGCTTCTGTTGAAAAGTTTTTTTTCCTCAGTGCATTTTCTTTAAAATAAAATATATCAAGCAAATTAATGAAATATTCGGACCTCACTATAAGATCAACCCTTAGGGCATAAAAATTTCTTATTTTTATCCTTAACGAGGGGTATCTTAAATAGGAGTTATATTGCTTAGGCAACTCCTCAACCCAGTGTCTAACACAAATTTTAGGCAGTATCTTAAGTAGAGGTGTATCTTATAATGAGGTTATCTTAAATAGAAGGTGGGGTTAATCGAGAGGATATCATTAACAGAGGTGCCTTTAATAAGAGATAGTATCTTACAAAGCCAGCTCCCCCACCCAATGGTCAATCAAATTTATAAAATCGTATCCTAGAACAAAGTTTATCCAGTATCTTGGAGGTATCTTATAGATGGGTCAGACTATACATACATTTATTTTTTCCTCTAATTAATTTTGTTTTATTTTTTCTCTGAAAATTTATTTAAAAAAGTTGGTGACCTACAAACATAATTTATTAAAATAGGAAAAAGATTCTATCTAATTTACGTCAATCTCCGGGATTTAAGCGGACCAATGCTTCTTTAATATTTTTACCTGTTCCTTTCCTTCTAAACTTGTTTTTTAATAAATTAATATGTATATTTAATTTATTATCTGCATATTTATTAAAATTATTTTTCAACATTTTCCTTTCTCAATTCAAGAATTAAAAAGTGAATTATTTTTTCCAATCTTATTTCCGCTCTTTAAATCATCTTCAACCTTAGAGCCATAACTTCTCTAATCTACTTATTTTAGATATTGCTTATTATTTTCTCGATTAATTCCCCCTTGGGGATTTAGATTTCAACTCATCAGTGAGATGGGTTGGAATCCGTGCAGAAAATTGGAATAAACATTGGGAAAATCGAGAGCGAGGGATCGAGAGTTAAGGAACTAATCGAAAATCGAAATTGATAAAGTCGAGAATGAAGAATTATTCGAGGGTCAATGTCCAATTGTTTCATTATTTAATTGTCTTGTCTCCTATAATTTGAAATTTTTTTATAATTTTTTTACAATTTGTATGTTTTAAAATTAAAAAATATTTAGAAAAATGGAATGAATAAATCAAATTCACATTTTATATCCAAGCAAAAAATTGGATTAAACAGAGAAAAATGTGAATTATTAAATGATTGCGATAATGTTGGCAATAATCAAAAGTTCACTGAGTATACTTCAAATAATTTGTTGAGACGGTATGGGATTTTTTAAAATAGTTAATACTGTATTTTCTGAATAATCCCCCCCCCCTCCACCATATGAAGTAGATCCTCCCCTAGATAATACGTCACTTGGGACCGAAGTAACCGACATTTTAATGGAAGACACGTGAATCGTGAAGATATGATATCGAAAGGAAGAGGCGCTTATGACCGAAAATTTTCCAAGACTCAGGACCGAGAAGACCCCAAGGAAGGACTTGGGTCAAGCCTCAAGACCAGGAATCTTGGAAGTCTCTAATATCGAGATTTAACTATAATTAATTTAAAGAACCTCCTCTCTTGAAAACAATAACGACCGTCAACAACAACAACGAAGAAAAAGAAGTAATGAACCTTTTGCAAGAACAACAACAACTTCCTCAAATAAGGAAAAACAAAGGAAATCGGTTAATATTCAAAGCGGGAAGCAGGATATTGAGGAGTGCTTGAGACAACTTACAAGAGAAAATGAAATACAAAAATCAAAGTTGGAGGAGCAGATTCGATTAAATTCTGTAAGGAAATAAGGCACTAATACAGACAGACCCTTCTATAAGATACACCTCTATTTAAGATACGCTCTCTTAATTGAGAGATTAAACCCTCTATTAAACATATACCTCAGTATAAGAAACTTTTATAATCCTCGTTATTAGAGACACACCAAGGGAGGTCTATTATAATGAGGGTCAAGACCTCTATTTAACATACAACTTATCATAAGATATTTCCTATTCCCAGGAAAATCAGTTATAGTGAAGCCCATAACAATTTTTTAATTTAAAAAGGTAATTGTTGCAAATCCTTCTTTGGCTAGCTCATTAAATTTCTCTAATGAAAATAATTTCGGATGTATCCTTCCAACAATTCCAAGTAATTCCTCTTTAAACAACAATGAAATTCAAAATTTTATCGCTACAACTTCTATAGCAACAGAAATACCTTTAATATTTTCTTCTTCAACTCCAGAAACATCAAACAACAACAGCAGCACATTACAAAAATCAGAACGCTCTGCTTTTTCTGTTATTCGTGCTGGAAGTTTAGTGGGGAATGATAAAGTGAGTATCCGACATTGTCTTCAATAAAAATTAAATTTTTAAAATTTAGCAAAAAGAAGCATCACCCTCCCCTTCAACAGCTTCAATCCCTCCCCAATTACCTCCAATTCCATTAGAATTGCAATCCTCCCTAAATCCTTATATTTCAACACTTTCAACTTCCCCCTTCTTTTTTCCTTTTCACAGCAACAGTCAACAATTAGAATTTATCCGTTTGGCTTCTCAATTAGTCCCTTTTTCTCTTTTTTCCCAAACACAACAACACCAACAAATATATGAACAACAACAACACAACAACAATTCAATAGTCTCCTCATCTTCAGATCCACAACAAAAACTCTATGAGCAGGCAATCCTTATGAGCATTAATCACCTCCCTTTGGATCACCTCCCCAACTTTGAACGGCCATAACTCGGCCCAAAGTCTCTAATTTAGTTTATTCTCCCCCTATTCGACACTCAGTTGAGGGTGTTATTAAAATTAGAATTTTATTTTTAATAATTTTAAGTAAAATTATTCTAACCGGTATATAATTTTCTCTGCGCAACAATAATTCTTTCCCAAAATTTTTAATAAAATTTATATCCAAAAAGTGCATTCCATACAATCTCCCTATTTTCAAATTTAATATTAACAAAATTTTTATTTGTTCATTCTTCCATTTTAAAATTTATTTTTGTTTCAATAATCCAAAAATTATTTTTAGTCCGTTTTATTTTTAATTGGAATAGTGACAAAAAAATTTTGAGTAGAACCAAAAGCAATTCACCTTCTGTAAGGGCAGTTCACCTTTTGACAATTGGAAGAATAAACCTTTACTGGAGGGGCAATTCACTAATTCACCCAAACACCCTCTAAAAATTTACCTCTGAAGAGGAAGTTCACCTCTAAAAGTTAACTTTCTGGCTATCATCTTCTGGAAGGGCAATTCACCCTCTGACCCACAAAACCCTCCAAAAGACACACTTTTTTTGATAAAATTTTTTTATTTATTTAGGCAAATGGAATGACTAAAATGCAAGGACATACATTAGATACCCAATCTCCCTCACAAGTTAATCAGTTCTCGCAGCCTCTCACTTTGGATACATCAGAACCAACAACACAAGAACATTTAGAAAATTGTAATCACGAATTGAGACACGAAGAAGCTCAAGAAATTCCTCTAGATTTTAGGTACTCAATAAAAATTTTTCAAATATTTTAATTTTTAATATTTTTAGCGTTATAAAGCATGGAATTAAAAAACATTTAACTAAAAATAAAACAAAATCAGTCATTTGTACTTCATCAACAAATGAACTAGAAGAAACTTCAACATGTTACAAACACAAGGGTCAATGCAAAAAATTTAATTTTTGTTTTGAATTTAAAAAAATTTTAAAATTAATTTTTGACCTTAAACCCATTATAAGACACCCACTTTGAGGCAGAAAAATCATATCTTATAATGAGATGTCTACTATTAATAGAGAGCAACGCTTAGACAACCCTCTACCTAGTAGATGACCGAATTTAAGAAACGTAACTTAAATAGAGGTCTATTATTGGGGGTATTTTAAATAGAGGTTTTTCTAATATTGGGGGTATCTTATATAGAGGTTTATCTGGTAGTGGGGGTATCTTAAACCGAGCTCAAGTAAATTTACATTTTTCTTCTCAGCATGTGAACAGCCGCTCCCTTTAACTACTACAATTCCTGAAAGCCTTCCTCCACCTAAAGAATTGCCTCACCCCTCACTTGTCTTTCCTGAGAGAAAAACTGTTTTGGAAATTACTGGTAGAAAGAAATTTTTTTTGAAATTTTTTAGAATTTTTTATCTAATTTAAGGACCCCCTCTACCCTCTTCTTCAATAAATTCTCAACTATCTTCACTTTCTTCTCTTTGCTGCCAACATGGTAAACACCAACAACCACAAACAACTACAAATTCCTCTTCTATTTTCCGCCCTCTCGCAAATTTTTTACTTTCAAAATCAGAACAAAAACATCACTATTTAACCGGATTGCTTAATCCTATTGAACCACAATTAAATTTAAAAGTATCCGAAGAAAAGGGAAAAGTAGATGAAGAAATACAACAACCCTCATCTTCAAAACAAATTAATTCTGCAAACAAAGGCATCTTTTTAAACTAAATGACCAGTCGTATATAATAGTCAGACCTCTCTATAGGATACCTAAAATTGTCTCTTATAATGAGTTGTACGTTGAATAGGAGGTGTCGTTTAAGTAGCTCCTCCCACTCCTTGGGCAAACAAATTTTAGAAATCGTACATTAAAATGGGGTGTTTCTTAAATAGAGGGTATAGAATTACAGTATGATATAAACTTATAGTCAGACTTCTATATAAGATACCCTCACTATAATATACTTTCAATTTAAGGTACATTCTATTTAATGTTTTAGAATTAGTTTAGCCACTTGTGGGGGAGTTGCCTAGGCAAAAACCTGTTTAATTGATACCCTCTGTTTAATATACACCTCATTATAAGATAATATTTTCACCCTGTGGATGTTCCTTATAGGGAGGTTTCCGACTTATTTTCTCAAAAACAAAAGGATTTACTCCTTCTTACTTTAACAGAAACACTTCATCCCCTACCCTCCTCTATCCAGTCAACATCATCAAACATTCGTTCATCCTCCTCAAATTCAATGTTGGGAACTCTTTTAGCAGCCCCCAATAAACTTCAAATATCTCCAACAGTTCCCGCTTCCAGAACAGAATTTTTTAGTGGATTAACAGCTTTTCAGCGAAGCGAAGTAAAAATAATTGAGAAAGAACAACAAGTAAAAAAAGCTTCAACATCGTCTTCGAGTGACAGTGAACACTCGGTAGTCAGTCAACCTTCCCCTAATTCTATGCATTCTTTACGTTCACAGTGAGGAAATTAAATTTTTAAAATTTTATCAAGTCAGACCTTATAATAATGAGGGTATCCATTAAATAGAGGATATTGGTTTGACAGTTTTCCTGCCCATTGCCAACCAAACTTTACGAACCGTACCTTAAATTGGGGTGTTACCTCGAGTATGACCTCACTTATGTGTACCCCCACTAATTTGTACTGATCAACTCAGGAGGTCAACTGACCCTAGAAGTCAATCCAAATATTAGGGCGGATAAGCAAAGATTTGTGGGGATTAAGAAGTATTTGTGGGGAATAAAGGGTTATTGATGGATTTGTTGTTTCACTGGATGGGGAGGATCTTCCTAAGAGATGCCCCCTCAGGCGGATATGTAAAGTCCGACTGTATTGAAATCCAACTGAATTAACTTTAAATAAATTTAAGTATATACAACATTCCACCACCTCGTCAACATTTCCTGGCACAAGTTCAACAACTATTGGAGGAGATAGTGACCGAACAAGACGAGGCGGTAGCTTTTCGCCTTCTGGGTGTTGTTGTTTATTTGCCTTATAAAAATTAATTTTTTTTCAGAAATTCTGGTTTTTCTGGTGACGATACATTAGCGGAACCTCTTCAACCTTCTTATCAGGCCAATTTATTGAGTAACAATTTAAAAGAAAATTTTTTGAGAAATGGAGACAATTTGCTGTTGAATGATGGAGGGAATGATTGTAATATTAATTGTGAAATGGAAGGGAGTGTTGCTTCCCTTAGAGTAAAACTAAAAAATAATGAAGAACTGGAACGAGTTAAGAGAATATTTTTGGGCCTCATTATGAGATACCCTCTAAGATTCTTTTCGGTCATGGGCAGAAAGTTTTTAACAAGTTATCCCCCCCCCCCCCATTTTCCCCATAGTTTCTCAAAAAGATTATTTTCATATTAACACCCACAAGGTCAACTCCATATCAATTAAAAGAGGTCAACTCCATATTAATTAGGTTCTGCTGATCAACAGGGAGTTGACCTACGTGGGCCTATTAAGATCAACCTCCTGGTTTGATCTCTATTTTTCAAATATTATTTATGAATAGGCATTTTTCCAAGGATGGGAGATGATGGGAGAATTGCCTAAACGATACCTTTTATTTTAATATAACCTATAATTAGGGACTAATTCTTTTAAACCCCTAGGGTATCTCCTAATGAAGTCCAAATTTTAATTCTTCCTTCAAAAATAATTTCGAAAGAAATTTAGTATATGGATCGTCGACGCCGAAACAACGAAGCAGCCAAACGTTGCCGAGCAAATCGCCGAGCAGTTTTTGAATATCGTTCCCGACGGGCCCAACTGCTTGAAGCAGAAAATGGGGGTAATTTAAGGAGAAACCTAATTTTCTTTAAAAAATCTTTTGAAGAACTCCGCCAAGAAATGATTAAATTAAACAATGAATTGGAACAATTGAAAGCTTTGATAGCAGCAAATGCAGTTGCAGCATCACAGGAGTCATCACCCTCCCAACAAAATCAACGTTTAATGTTTAATTACCCAAGTTTAAGATAAATTGAAAGTAATTTTCAAAATAAAATTCAAATCTTCTATTTCACTTCCAAATCAACTTGGGACAACTAAAGGAAAATATAAAATGACTCCAAATTTAAATCAACAACAATTAATCGATATTGCAAAAGCCGTTGCTGAAATATTAAAGCCCACTATCACTGAAATTGTTAAAACAACAATATCTGAAATTTTTAAACAACAATCTAATTCTAATGATTCACCAACAATCAATACTCCTTGGGGCTGCCCTCCTCTTAATATCTACTCTTCCAACCTCTCCTCTCAATGTCAAATAGCACAAACAATCAATAATGCTATCATCAATTCTGAAACAATCAAGGCAAAATCTTTGCGTGCTGTTATTGAAAAATTGCCCGAAGTAAATGATGAAGGTATGGTTAGAAGTTTAGTAAAAGAATGTGGACTTGAAGATAAAGTTGATTTTGCTGGTATCCATAGACATCCACCACATAAAAATAACAAAAGCAGTAAACCGCATATTCTAAAAATACCCTTTACTGATACAAAATCTCGTGATACTTTTTTATACTCATTTCGTAAATGTGTCAAATCTCTTCCTAATGTTCCTAAAAATATAACAGCCAGACGCGATATGACCCAATATGAATTAAATATTCTTTATAACCTTCGTAAACAAGCTTATGACCTTAATGTTCGTGAAAACTTATTTAAATACTTTGTTGTTGATTTAGAAATTCGTAAAATGTCACAACCAAAACCTCTTAAGGTAAAAAATGTTTCCGCATAGGGTAATTCGAGTAACCATACTGGTAATTTAAAAACAACTTTAAACTCTAATATATTATCCTGTTTGGCTTTTAATGCACGATCTATAAATAATAAAACCTTCGAACTCCAGGAACTCTTGGAAAATAACAAAAATAAAATAATACTAATAAACGAAACCTGGCTTAAAGAAAATAACATTATACATTCAGAATTTTCACTTAAAGGACAGTTTAACCCAATATTTGCTAACAGAAAACAAGGTCTTGGGGGCGGCTGCCTAATACTCATTCCCTCCGAAATTCCATACAAATTAAAATTTACAGGCACAAAATTTAAATGCGAAATTATACATTTAAAATTACTTATACAAAGGGGTATTGAAATTTTTTGTGTATACCGACCACCAAAATGTTCATATGATGAAACCAAGAAACTAATGAAATATATCTCATCTAAATTAAATTCTAATGCTTTAATCTATGGGGATTTTAACATTCCTAAAATTAACTGGGATACTATGGATTCAAATAATGATCTAGGACAGTTACTTATTGATTTCTGTTCTCAAAATGAAGTTTACCAACATATAAAAGAAAATACAAGAGATAATTCAATACTCGATTTACTTTTCACAAATCCTAAAAATCTTATTGAAAACTATAATATTTCTGCTCCTTTCTCAACATCTGATCATAATATGATCTCATTCATTTTAAACGTTAAATTCCATAGAGAATCCAAAAGTAAAAAATATATAAGAAGTTTTAGCCATAAAAACACAGAAAATCTTAGAAAATACATATCATCTATAAATTGGAAATACTTACTCGAGACAAAATTCACCACTAATGATAAGTATAATAACATAACACAAAATTTAGTATCTACCCTTAATAACGCTATCCCTTTACAAACATTAAATTTAATTATTAGGAACAGTTATCCTAAAAAGATTAAAAATTTACAAGCAAGAAAACTTGCTATACATCAAAACTTAAGAACAAATCCTAAAAATAATAATTTAAAACTTCAATATCGATTTATCTCTAAAGAACTCAAAAAGAATATAGAATCATATAACGAAGAAAAGATAAGTAAAACGATAAATAAAGGAGGTAATGCCATTCATAAATTTATTCGGCAAAAATTCAATCCAAATGACAAAATACCAAATTTAATAAGTGAAGATAACAAATTACATATAAATATAAAAGATAAATGTAAATTACTTGCTAACACATTTAGTAAGTATTTCCAACTCAAAGAATTTGACAAAAACTTTACACCTAGACAAACTACAAGAGAACGTCTAGAAGATATTGAATTCGATATTCTCACAGTTGAAAATATCCTAGAAAATCTTCCAAATAAAATCTCTAATTCACCTGATGATATTCCTTATATATTATTGAAATCATGTTCGAAAATACTTTCTCCGACCATAACAGAAATATTCAGAATCATATTAGATAATAGGACAATCCCAGAAATCTGGAGACAATCCTACATCATTCCTATATTTAAAAAGGGTGAAATAAATGACCCTGCTAATTATAGACCTATTTCTGTTACATGCACACTTTGCCGCGTATTCGAAAGAATTATCTCAACACAAATCATAAATTTTCTAAATAAAACTAAATTCTTCTCTGATGAACAATTTGGGTTCTTACAATATAGATCAACTACAACAAATCTTTTATCAATGTTAAATGATTTTTATAAGTCATTGGAAAAAAGAGAAAATATCGATATTATTTACATTGATTTTGCTAAAGCATTTGACTCTGTTCCTATTGAGCTCTTATGCCTCAAAATAAAAGCTTGTGGAATTAATGGAAAATTATATGATTTCATAGAAAACTTTCTAACAAAAAGAAGTTTTAAAGTTAAAATAGAAAAAGAATTCTCTGAAAGCGTACAAACAAAATCAGGCGTACCACAAGGAAGTGTATTAGGTCCTTTAT